TATCACATAGCGGGCTAACAATCCCTTATGTGATAGCACAGGCACACTTACAGGTCCTCTTTATGGAGACATTAGGGGTCTTTTTCTAAGTTGAAAACAAGTTATATCAGAGTTCTGCTGCTGTATCTAGGCCATCACTTTCCTCTTTCATGTCTCCAGCTCCCCATTATCTCCCCCTTCATGTCCCCAGCTTTCCGCTCCCGGACCCCACGCAACCTCTGCGACACTGGTAGTTCCGCCACTGGATGCACCGCTACCAACTACCATACTCGGAACAAGCACATGTACAGACACTTTTCGAGCTTCAAGACTAGATTAGATAAATATTCAAAAGTTAGGAGGCAGCTGTCATTTGTAAGGAGCACACGGAGCTCCTGGGATTTGTACATCTCTGTTTTAATGTACGATTTTGGTTTTCTAAATATAAATAAAAGGATGGTAGCGGCACTGGTATCTGAACATCCCTAGTTACAAGCCACCCATTGTGGGTCTGTTAACCTGGGACAAAACTGATAATGTTATAATTATGGTTTTTTTAAGATACTTATAAGCCTTGTTAGTTATGTTTTCCTTTTTTGGGATTAATTTGTTCTATTTGTGTTTTTAGATACACTTTCATTGCTACGTTAAGAAGGAAACACCAAAAAAAAGTGGGATCACATTTATAAAGGGTTAAAAGAACCCATCCTGGGAGTGTCATTGCTGACCTTTTTGTAAAGTAATTAAGGGGTATTATAGGCTAGTACTCATGTGGTTAACATAGTATGAAACAATTGTTAAGCTTCACCATCATCAAATATTTTTTAAGTTTAGATAATGTTGTGTTTCAATAGGTTAATTAGAGAAAGTGAATCCGTAGTAAAGGGAGTGATGTGTAAAAATGACTTACTTACTTACTTACATGATGTTTCAAATTATGGACATTTGTGAAACAAGCAGGAATTGTTGGAGTGTATACCTGTATTATATTAAAAGGGTTACAAATTGGAGGGTCCATGGCCCACGTATATTATAATATACAAGAAAGAATGATTCTCATACAAGCATCTGTATAGTATTATAGTATTGATATTATTACATCGATATTACTGAATTTGTATTGTTACACCACATGTGCTGGTTAATTAGTGATAATTAACCAGCACATGTGGTGTAGGATTCTTTTATTGGTTTTAAATTGTGGGGCATTTACTAATAAAGTTGTTTATTTTTGTGATAATGACATTTATAATAATTATTACTTTTAATTAGGGTGTTTGATTAAAAAAAGTAGATACCGAAAGCTTGGCCTACAGTTCCCCATCATATGTTTTAAGCCAGGGTATCTTACAAAAACATTAAAAAAAATATAAAGCATCTATATGCTGCAGGTCTGTTGTGCTGTATATCATTTCCCTAGTTTAGCTTTTTGTTTTTGTCTGGGTCCCTGCAGCTGATTCGCCCTCACTATATGTCTGGGGAAGCCATCATAACCATGGGGTGAATGGGAGGAATTTCAAGCCTATATGTGATAACAAACCGTCTGAAATTACGAATTGATTCAGCATAACGAATCAAAACAAAATATTTGCCGGTTCACATGCCTACTATATACAGCTCAAAAAAGGTGAAGATCTTGCCTGGACATAAACTTTGAATGTTCATATTGTCTGTATTTTTTTATAATCTATTTGTGTTATAAGTCATTCTTTTTTTATAACACTGGATGGATGTTTTTATAAAGCAGTGAGTGTGACATTCCTAAAACATTTACTATAGGTGAATCAATTACTGGTGTTTAAAAAATGTACACAAGAAAGATTCACTTGGAGTGAATTTTTGGTAAAAGTCCTATTCACTGCTTTATAAATATACTGTACCCCATAGTTTGTATAATCTCACAGGATATTATGGACCTTTACAAAATAATAATCATAATAACGATCTCTGATTTTCAGGTTCCGGTATCTCGGTGCTCAGGACCTTGTTTACCTGGCACCAGAAAGAAGTTTGGATCTTCAATTCATGAATGCTGCTATGAGTGTGTTCCATGTCCACAAGGAGAGATATCCAACATTTCTGGTAGATTTTGTATTTGTTAGTAAGTTATTGTTGGACTGGGCAGACATTGCCACTGTTGTTAAAATCTATGTCAGGAAAGAAACATATGCAGTACACCTCTGCAGTGTAAGCATGTCACCCCATGTTGTATCCCTTTAAACACCCTGCAGGTACAGAAATATATCTGCTGATCTGGGCATGAATGCACTCAATTCCTAATTTCCTGTTGTGGGCTGACAAAACTCCGGAATTGGCAGACTGAAATTATCAAACCAAGAAATGGTCTCAGCCCCACCAAGTTGTCTTTTGCTGCTACTACTACTACTACTACTACTACTACTACTACTACTACTACTACTACTAATACTAATACTAATACTAATACTAATACTACTAGTACTTCTTCTCAGAGTTAATCATAACTCAAACTATAATGTATAGATATTTATATATATAGAAAAATATATAGTGGCATATCTTAATTGCCTTAAGCCTTAGAGATCCTCTCCATAGGGAAAAATATGTCACACCCCCACTCCTCCCACATAATGGGAGGGTCCAATCAAACCAGCTGGACTTTCTACTATGACCCCAGACTATGTATGGAAACTGAACTATGATTGTAACTTGAGTACAAGGACGAAGTCAAGGGAAAGCCGCTACTGGTCCTGAGTAACACACTATGGGGTCTATTCACGAAGCTGCAGAAGGATCTAGCCGTAGCTTTGGCCGATCCTTCGGCTAGCTTCGGCCCCAGGACCCTTTCGGTTCAGTAGAACCGAAGGTGTGCTGTACGGGCTATTCACTACAGCCTGTACAGCTCCCAAACTTGGCCGAGCTGAACGCATATGCCTCGGCTCAGTGTTTCTCTCCTGGGCGGCCGGGAGTGGAAGGCTCCCAGAGCGCCCGGGAGATTTTTTTTTTTATTCTTTTATTTTTTTTTTACGGCAGCAGAACAGCCGGACAATAGAAAACTGTTGAGCGGAGCTAGCTGTCACTGCTGGCTCCGCACAATCGTTTTCTGCTTATTTATTTTTTACTTTTTTAACTATTTTTCTGTTCTGCTCGGTCCCTCTTAGGAACTGAGCAGAACAGCCGAGCCGAATGCCGCTCAGCGGCATTCAGCTATTGACTCACTGCTGTTCGACATCTATAAGAATAGGCTGAACAGCAGTGAGTAGCCTGTCGGAGGTTCGGCTCAGCCGATCCAGATGCTGGATCGGCTGAGTCGAACTCCTTCCGCACTTCGGGTCAGCCTGAGCATGTTCGGCTGACCCGAAGCCATGCAAGGCAAGCCGATGTACGGCTGATTTCAGCCGATATACGGCTGAAATCAGCCGTACAAGCCTGAACAGTGTTCGGCTCACTTCACTTGGGGTCGGTTGTTCACTCGGCTGCCCTCGGCAGCTTAGTGAATAGACTTGTATGTGTGACAGCAAGTCTCATTCATCTGTACTCACACACGGACAGTAAATCTTTTCTAGCTCTATGACCTCAGTCTTAGGAAACCCACATTTTTCCCCAGGCAAGGTATAATTTCCTGGACCACTAGCACCCTACTTCTGATAAAGAACTACATCAAGAGAGAGAAATTCCTAGAGAGAACAAAGATCAATAGTACCAGAGGGATGTTGGAGATGCAACTCTGTCACAGAATCCATGCTTTACATGTGATGGGAATGTCTCTTGATCAAATCCCTCTATCTGGAGGTCCCTTTCCTAATTACCCAGATCTCAACCCGACTGAGTGTGAACCCAAGGTCATGTTACTTCATTATACATATAACTCGATACTGAAATATAAGCACTAGGACTGTTTATATCCCTAATGTGGACAAATCTCTTACATTTCTCCACTGGTAGTCTGAAGACCCTCTCTAACTTGCTGAGTGGCATCAGAAAGTCAAATGTATTTTCAAGATGGAGAAAACTAGGGCAATAGCAAATTACTTAACAGGAAGGGGTGGTTTGAAGGGGTAATATAAGTAGGATCTCCCAACCCTATTCCAATAAAGCTATACCAAATAAATTACTCTCCCCACCACCATTACCCTTTCAACCCTTCCTGAACTTTTCTGCACTCCCCATAGTTACCCCTATCTTGATTACCTTCTCTACTTCCTTTTCTACCCATTACCCAATTCACATAAGTACAGATTTCTCCTCCTCTTCCTCAATCACCTAGTTCAGTTAATGGGAGAATGCATCAACTCTAAAATCCATGAATGCTGAACATAGCGAATAACCCCATTAAGGTCTATAGGGCATGGGTATCGGGGTACTGACATGATTACCAATGCAAAAAAAATACAGTTCTGTGGGGTAGGGTATTTTAAAGGGACTTACATGGCAACTTTAAAAAGGCATAATTATTTTATATATTTGGGGATGTCTTAAACCTGCACATGACGTTGTACGCAGAGTACAGAGGTTGCACACAGAGAAATACACAGTACTCCTTTCCCTGCCTGCCTCTGTTTGTTGTCTTCCATATTTAGTCAATAACATCACCCAACACCCCAGTCAGTCTTGAAATTAAGCAGCTGGCCAGGGACTGCCATTTGTGATGGCAGGAACAGCAGGAGAGGATCATCATGGTAGTGGGCCATAGTGTTGGCAGGTCAGCAGTCATTGTTCATCGTGATTGATACTGGATCAATATCATTGGACCACATTATTGACCATGGTTTTTATTTACTTTCTTTTTAACATTTTTGCAAATAAGTAACAAAGGGTATTATGTAATCTTTTCTCATAGGGGTGAATATCTGGGGGCCCCTTCAATGGTCTCATCCCCACATCCGGGCCAGGAGGAAACTGCCATTTAGTAGTGGCAGACAAATAAATTGCTTTTGGCTGCATCAGCCATAGCTTTGGGTGGGTGGGCAAACTGGGCAAATCTGCTTATTTTGTGTCGGGTCCCAGTCCGTAGCACATGTCGAGTCCCGGTCCGAGCTCCAATGCGGGGACGCACACGGAGAGAGGGCATCCGCCGCCAGGTCCAGGCCGCGCAGACGACGGAGGGCCCGGCGGTTTCCGTGAGGCGTGATGTCATCGTGCTAATACGGGCCGGTGATGCCATCAAGTCGGCGCATGCGCAGTAACGCGTCCTGGCCTTTATAAGGCGCCACAGGATGCTGATTCAGTGCTGAGTGATCTTCACCCTGTGATGGATGTCCTGACCTTGCTCCTGTTCCTAAACCTAATCAACCTGTTTGTACTGGCTTCCCTCTCTGACGATCCTCTTGATTATCCTCTGTACCTTGCTGCCCGCTTGTTATCGACCCCGCTTGCCTCTTGAGGCTCCATTTGGAGTAACCCCTTGTACTTCGATTGCCCACCTGTTACTGACCCAGTCTGGCTCCTGACTTCCTGATTGGATTTACAGCACCTTCAAGCACGGCTGACTACCCCACCAGATCTCTGATCACCACTGCGACCCAGGATCCGCACCTGTGCACCCCCTGCCTGAGCACACTGTCTTCAACCCCAGTGGTCATCAGACAGGGTTGCAAGGGAGGTCCTCCTCGTCACCTCTGGCCCACACTACAACCCTAACAGTTTGTTTGACTAAACCCTGAAGTTCATCCCATTTCCTCATACATACTGCTTAACATAGGGTCAAATATCAATGCATAATACAAATAAAACACTGTATTTGTTGCTAAATTCGACACAACAAATTCTTTAAGTGTAAGTCAGGGCAAAAAAAATTTTGCAGGCTGGCTGGCAGGTTGAGGCTGGGGAATTTTTGTGTTTTGTATTTCAAAAAAATATATACAGTACATCTCTGCAATACATTTTTCTGTGTTTTATCCCTTTAATTACCCTGCAAGTACAATAACAATGACCCAATGAATAGCCAGAAATTCACTTCTTCTCTCTCCTGTGTCATTCCTGCTAACTGTTATAATTGTAAAATATATAGTGGAATCTTTATTGGCAAAACCCTAAATATATACAATATTTTCAGCAGTATTGTCATCTTTATGGCAGCTATTTTTCACAGCCATAATCTTTTGCACGATTCTAGAAATTGTTTTTCCTGTTAAGTTAAAGATGGAATATTAGCCTGATATAAATCGTCATAGTTTGGAGTCATTCTCACCCCCAAATATCTAATATTCTGGTACTCCCATCCATATGAATATTCACTCTGTAATAAGCCTTGAACCTCTTTTGATAGCAGTATATTGAAAATGTTAGATTTAGGGATATTTACTTGGAGGCCTGAGAGATTTCCAAATCTTGAGATACATTTGAACAGATTTGGCATGGAGTTAATGGCATTAGTAACAAAGAAAATAGTATCGTCCACAAACAGTGAGTTTTTTTGTTCATATCCCCCTACCTCCAGACCTTTTATATTTACATCATTGCATACTGCTATTGCCAATGGCTCGATGGCAGGGCAAATAATAATGGAGATAGCAGGCATCCCTGTTGTGTCCCTCTCATAAGTTGGAAATTTTGAAATTTGGCAACTTGGTGACTTTATATTTTATAAACACATTTGGATTTCGATACAATCCTGTCACCCATTTAATAAAATTTGGGCCACAGCCCCATTTCTATAGAATGAGAGTAAGGTATGGTCATGATATTGAAGACCTTTCAGATGTCTAATGACAATATCAACTATCAATATGTCGATATCTAGCAATATTACCAGATGCAAAAGTCTTCTTAACCGATCCATGGCCTGCCTTTTTGGAATAAACCCAACCTGGTCCATTTCAATCAAGGTATGTATCCCTTTATTCAACCTACTTGCTAGAATTTTAGAATTTTAGCTATTAATTTTACATCCTCATTAAGTCGTGAGATTGGTCTGAAATTTGACCAGTTGGTTTGATCAGTACTTGGTTTATCTATCTATCTATCTATCTATCTATCTATCTATCTATCTATCTATCTATCTATCTATCTATCTATCTATCTATCTTTGTAATACATCTCAATATTATTGTTTCAATATTATATATGTAGGTAATGTAGTGTATTTTCTTTTACTCTTTCTCAAGAATCCAATTGCTAACTATGAGACAACACAAGACATTTTCTCAGATACTTTGACAAAGATACTCATTGTGTTGGTATTTTTCTTCTTGCAGACAGTGAAAACTGCATGAAATGTTCTGATGAAGAATGGCCAAATGAGAAGAAGGATCGCTGTGTTCCAAAACTGGTGGAGTTTCTCTCTTACAGAGATGATACAATTGTTGTATTCATTTCAGCTGTCTCCATCCTCTGTTGTCTTCTGACTGGTGTAATATTGGCGATGTTTATACATTACCAGGACACACCCATTGTTAAAGCTAATAACCGGAACCTGAGCTATCTTCTCCTGGTCTCCATCATGCTGAGCTTCCTCTGTGTCTTCTTGTTCATCGGCCATCCAGTAGATGTAACCTGCATGCTACGTGTAACCTCTTTTGGTGTCATCTTCTCAGTTGCTGTCTCTTCTCTACTTGCCAAAAGTATCATGGTGTGTATTGCTTTTAAAGCCACCAAACCTGGGAGTTCCTGGAGGAAATGGATGGGAATCACATTGCCGATTTCTATCATGTCAGCGTTGTCAATGGTGCAAGTTATAATTTGTGTAACTTGGTTGTCTATATCTCCTCCCTTCCAGGATCGAGACACTCACTCTTATCTTGGAAAGATCATCATTCAGTGTAATGAGGGTTCAGTTATCGGCTTCTACTCTGTCTTGGGATATATGGGACTTTTGTCAGCTGTGAGTTTCATTATAGCTTTTTTAGCCAGGACATTACCGGACAGTTTTAATGAGGCCAAGTACATCACCTTCAGCATGCTGGTGTTCTGCAGTGTCTGGATTGCCATAATACCAGCCTATCTGAGCACCAGGGGGAAATACATGGTGGCTGTGGAGACTTTTGCTATAATAGCATCAAGTACTGGACTTCTTGGCTGTATATTTTTCCCAAAATGTTACATCATTCTGTTCAGACCTGACCTGAATACAAAAACAGGTTTGCTTGAAAATAGAGGATAATCTTTTTTTAATATATGATGACCTCTGTGGTACAACTTAACATATAATCTATAATAACTGATGAGCCAATAATGAGAACAGCGTGACATTTAAAGTTTAACATTTGATTCTCACTTTTGCTCTCATGTAGAATTATGGACACGTTGCATTTGTTGGACACCTGATCCCCTGCTGGCTTTGGTGGTCCCTCCCTCAGGCTGCTACATCAATACAGAATAATGTAGTCACTTAGCGAGGAGGAACCACAGTGACCATACTTATCTAAAACATCCTAAAGTGTCACATACCAACTTCACCCATTACTCCTTAAGAGAATAAATATTTTACTCACCACCTTCCAGAAAGGTGAAAATGTAAAAAAATAAATAAAAGCTGCCCGGAATGCATTTTTAAGTGACCAAGTCATTTTAAATATATTGGAGGTAGATGTATCTGGCTACAATAAATAATCAATTTTGCTTGGTGTATTCTAAATTCATTTAAAATATTAGCTGAAGCATGTTCTCATTTTAAGTGATACGTTTATTTTATTTAAAATGACAGATCCTGATATACCAACTTCAAAAGTAAAAAAAAAAGGTTCCAGGTGGTGACTACATAAGTAATTAACTAACCAAGGACCCTAATGTGGTGTGCATTAGACATGCTTACTCCTAAAGACTCCAAAAGGTCCTTATTAATTTGTATAACAAAGATTCACAAGAAAGTAAAGTAGAAAATTAGAAGTGTATGCACATTTTGTGATATTTTTGAAGTTTTGTTAAATAGAACTGCACTATTTCTTCTTTTCTGTAACAATAACAGTCCAATGGCACAATAGTTATACAGGTATTCCTCACTTAACGACCGAGTTCCGTTCCTACGACCAGGTCGTTAAACGGATTGGTCGTTAAGTGAGGAACTCTATACAGTACTGTACTGCATTAGTACAGTACTGTATAGCGTTGCCGAGGTACAGTAACGAACAGTGTACTGTACATCGGGCAATGAAAATACTTACCAGGACCCGCAATGAAGATCGGAGGACACCACTTCCGCCGGCGACACGGCGCACTGGCGCTGACGCGCAAGGTCGGAGGTCGATCGGCGCTCCGTCGTAAGTGCGAGTGGTCGCAAAACAGGTAAGTCGGTAAGTGAGGAACATCTGTATAATATATTTTGTACCCTTTTTATTGTAGCCCTGCATCCTCTCCAATTTTAATCCTGCCTTTCAATGTAGTGTTGTTTGTTGGGTGGTCAATTGAATGCCTGGCTCTTATTTATGTTATGATGATGGAGGGTAAATGTGGGGTGCTTTTGGATCACACTGGTTACCACACAGCAAAACAATTATGTGTTTGGTACTAGGGACTGCTCTAAATTAAAATATACCCCAAAAATATTCAAACTGTAAAAACCCCAAAACAAAAGTCCACTATATTTTCATTACTGTTTAAACACTAGTAGAAAAAAAATTATATAAAAAAAAATAACAATAAATCACCAAAGGAAAACAATAGCAGGCAGATAGCAAGCAAGTATACTTGTGGCAGAGAGAGTAATCCTAAGAAGAACTATAAAAACAGGGGGGGGGACCCAGATAATATGTAGATCACACACTGCGACAAACCTTTCTATAACTTGCTCCATTCTTTTAGATTGTAAACTCTCATGGGTAGAGCCCTCTGACCCATTATGTCTTGTTTTTTATTGTAACTGTAAGATCTTTCTTATATCATAAAGTGCTGTGCAAATTGTTGGCACTATATAAACTCTGAATAAAAATTATAATAATAATAGATCACCACTGCATCAACATTACACAGAAATATCAGTTCTCAGAACAGCTCCAATACACAATAAAAATATGGCTGCTGTGAGCCCACACATTTACAATGAGAGGCCTTGGTTATCCATTTCTTCATATTATTGGCTCTTGTGATTTAGCTGGTGGAGCAAAGCCTAAGCGGTGCATTATGGGTTGTTCCTAAATTCTGGTGCAAATTCTGCACATATTGGCCAAAAGCTAATGATTTGCCCCAGAAGAGGGGTGAACTCAGACTTTATCCTAGTCGGCATAGGTAATGAGCAATTATGACAGTTTGCAGATTTTTGTGGGAGAATTAGAAACCTGGTAGACTGGCTAAGCTGTGAGTATTATAAGATACACTCTGTGTTTAAGGGACAGGACAGGAAGAAGAGTAGGAGGGGTATGCCAGTGTGTCAGGAATTATCTGAAATTGAATATGAGAGATGCCATCAGTAACAAGACTTGTGACGGTGCAGAGTCTGTATGTCTGGAGATACAAATAAGTGAAAACAATGGCAAATTACTGGTGGATGTATTCTATATCCTCCCTAACATAAGGGAAAGGGAATAGAATCAACTTTTGTTTTACAGAATGGAGTGTTAAGTATCCTGATAATGATTGGGCAAATGAAAAACTCAAGCACTCAGCTAAGATTCATCATTGCAGGAACAAAGATGAACAGGGGATGTTGGCTACAAGTGACAGGTAGAAGGCAAATTGTATTAAATAATTTTTTCTCTTCAGTTCATACAGACAAAATGGACGGGTTAAATTAGTAATACTAATAATAAGGTACTCATGGCACCTCAGTGGCTGACAGAAATGTGGGTTAAAAAAGACTTGAAAGACTTAATGCAAACAAATCTCCAGGATGAGATGGCTTACACCCATAAGTCTTAAAAGAGCTTAGCCAAGTTATAGTCAAACCATTGTTTTAAGGAAACCTTAATGACTGGAATAATACTGACTGATTGATGAAATTCTAATGTGGTGCTGGTATTCAAAAAGTGGTTTAGATATACAGGTGAAACTCGAATAATTAGAATATCGTGCAAAAGTAATTGCAGTAAGTGCTGCAAAAGGGGCCAAAACCAAGTACTGAGTACATATGCATGCTTGTACTTTTCAGAGGTCCGATATTGTTCTATGTACAATCCTTGTTTTATTGATTGCATGTAATAATCTACTTTTTTGAGGTTGTGGATTTGGGGTTCTTGGGGTTTTCATGGGCTGTAAGCAATAATCATCACAATTATGACAAATCACGGCTTGAATTATCTTGCTTTGCATGTAATAAGTCTATCTCATATATTAGTTTCATCTTTTAAGTTGCATTAGTGAAATAAATGAACTTTGCACGATATTCTAATTATTCGAGTTTCACCTGTATATGAGCAATAGACTGTGGTTGATTTACTAACCTTATAAACACACCACGAACATGTATACACCTCTGTAGTGTGTTCCCTCCAAGCATGATCTATGGGTGGAATCTAAACACCTTTGTAGTGTGTACACACCCAGCAGGTGTGTTGTGCAAAGCCCTGCATGAATTGCAAGGTGATGTTGTGTAAATTAGCTCTATGTTGTGTTGCTTGCGTTGATGAATGCAGGAATGTAAATGCATGAGCTAACCATTTTTGTCTAAACTGTGAAGCAGCATTATATATGCATCATGTGCATGACTTTTCCATATATGGCATTAGTGGAAATATGCTTTTAGAGACTTTTTGGTTGATAAATACGTTTTGCTGTGTGAAAATCACACACACCTGGTGCGTGCGTGTGTTTAGGTTAGTAAATCACCCCCACTGTGTCATCTACATTCTCTATGATTAGGCTTGTCATGGTGGAATGTGTCAGAGGTGGGCAATCATTGGGCTGTAACAGCCTCTTGTTGGCTGTCAAGCTGCTATAAATGTTTAAGGTAACATCAGCAATGTGCAAAGCTGTCTTCTAAGCACATGCACTATGCCTACTCAATGACGCTGTGAATGGACTGGAGTGGTGACATACAGCATGTTTGTGTCTTATAATCTGATATCTCTTAGTTATTCACTGATTATGTATTTTTTATTCATTTTTATAAAGAATTTAGAACATGTGCAGACACATACATCAGTGATTATAGTATATTGAGGTATTAAAATGACATCATATCATGAGCCACACTATGATGTATAAAATGCAAAAACAAGTATCAAAGCGAGGGTGGTAGACAAATAGGATGGGTATGAGGTATAGAAAGTAAGGTAAGTAAGGAAAAGGAGAAGGAGGAGAGATATTTAGAAGATAGAAATAAGACAAAGTCCTAATACATCTATAGCTAGATTCATGAAACTAACACATTGGCATAATGCAAATCAAGATGCAGAAGACATAACATCCAGGTAAGAAGCTGTGGTCCTAAAAACAATCCAGCAGGCCCATACTTTACGGATAAGATTTTAGGGATCTCTAGAATCATGAGAAAATTCTTCCATTAAATTGATCTGATCTATTTTTTAAAACCATAATTTAATAGAAAGAACTTTCAATTGTTTCCAGAACAATAAATATAAATAAATAAATACATTTAGCTGCATCACATAAATGAGGTGCAATGGGTCATTTACATTTGCTTGCCGGTTTACATTTATACAAAATGACCCATGGGTCAAGAGTCACTGAGGAAATAAGATTCAGTGGTCCAAAGAGTCTTATTCACTGGACAAAACCATAATTTATGCATACGAGTACCTTCATCCACACAGTCTCTGCAACATGGAGGATACATCTCTGGAAATATTCAATACCATACCATGGAGGAGCGTTCATGCATAGAAGAAACTTAGAAAACTGTGTGAAACATTTGGCAGTAGATGCAGATAATAACAGGATCTCTAGAAGGTTAAGTTCAGCAAAGTAACAAAGTGGATTTAGTTAGGACTGTATAAAATGGAAGAGATAAGTGTGTTCCATTGGTCCAGTGGTTGTGATTTGCAGTGGTCTCTGATC